TTCGTTCAGTTGTGCGTGGGATGTGGGATCAACACGAGTTGGGAACCAACTTGATGGCAGTTCACAAAAGTAGCAGCAAGGTCACTGTTTACTATAAATAGCCCAGGCACCATTCAAGTCTCTCAAACCTAAAACCTACAGCTCAAAGGGCCAGTCTACCTGAAGGGCAAACTAGCCACTGTTTTATTGTTATGTGTCGTCAAGTTCCTTTCGACTCATAGCAACCCTATGGACAATAGCCCTGAAACCTGATCTATCCTGTGCCAACCTTACTGTCTCTGACACACCTACCCTCACTACCCCAGTCACTGAGTCAATCCATTTCATTCAGGGTCTTCCTCCACCCTGTCAAGCATAATGTCCCATTCCAAGGACTGGTCTCTTTTTGCAACATACCCAAAGTATGTCAGATGGAGCCTCAGAATCCTTGCCTCCAAGGAGCAGCCTGGTTTTATCCTCTCTAGGACAAACTTACTTGTTCTCCTGGCAGTCCACGGTATTTCCAATATTCCAGTATTCTCCAGCACCACAGCTGAAAAGCATCAATTCTCTATCATTCCTAGTCATTGTCCAGCTTTCTGACACATAGCAAGTAACTGAGAAGACTATGGCACACCTTAGTCTTCAGACTGATGTTACTGCTCCCTGACAACAGACTTTCCCAATGCAATTCGTCTTTTGATTTCCTGGCTGCTGGTACCAAGAGTGTTGATGGTGAAGCCAAGCAAACTAAAGCTGTTAATCTCACAAAAAAACCTCACCTATTCTTCCTTTTTGAGCCCAATGTGCCTTTGGCTCAAGAGTTTTGGTAAAATCAAAGAGTCTTGATTATTGATTAGTCTCTTGTAAGTCAACAATCTGGTTAATTTGTAAAGTAAAGTTGAAAACAAGAGACTATTAAGTCCCAACTGAAGGCCAGTCCAGAAATGCCAACATAGTAGAATCTGCCACTCAATGGTCATTTACTTAATGTCAGCAACACTGAGTGAACTTCTAGCTCCAACCTGCACCTTAGCTGACCATTCATCATCAAAAAAGACCAGACTAGGAAGACCACTGAAACACAAATCCTGCCCCTACAAAAACAACTCCAAAACACCAGATTCAAACATAGATCCCCAATGGTCATCTTTGTAGACTATACTATTATATTTGCCTAATCTTTCAACCCTAAATTCAACCCAGAGCTGGAAGCAAAGGGGAATTATTATACCCAAACATTTTCAAAGCACTTAAGATACAATTTGAAATAGCAGTTATAATACATAATCCCTTCTGGAAAAAGGTGTGCCCCCAGTTGAACATCTTTCTGAATTTGTTGTTATTGCTGACTGCTGTCCAGTTGAGGTCGACTCATAGCGACTCTAAGAACAAATGACCTAATGCCTTTCCATAGCTATGGTTGTTTCTCCAAGTTCATAGAGTTTCCAGAGGCATGTGGTTTAGGAAGTAGATGCCACTCCTGCTTCCAAACCTGTTTTACAATTGGTTTTACAACTGGGAGCTCCACCAAATACGGTCCACAACAAGAAACTATTATGGCACAAGGTTCAGCATCATGGCAAACCCAGGTGACCTCATACAGCACATTGACAAAGAGTAATGTGCAAAGTGGAAGAATTCCTCCTGATATAACAATACTAGTCTCGTTTAGCGGTGGTTAAGTGTTGTCGAGTCGAATGACTCAAAGTAAGATTTGCACAAAAGACCTGAATTCTGTTCTATAATTAACATCATTTCCGTACACTTTTAAGAGAGTTTGTAGAGCTTGCAGAAGCATCTAGTTTAGAAAGTAGATGCCACTCTTGCTTCCCAACATGAATCGATCTGGAAGCTCAACGATAAAAAAAATCATTGCTGAATTTAGGCACGAGATTTATCTGCTTCAGCTTGGTGATCATTGTCTCTTCCTCTTCCATTCTTTGCAGGGTGGCTTTTTACTACAATAGTCCAATAGGACTTGCAAAACAGCAAGTGATAAGACTCATAAGACTCGAGGAAAGCCCACGGAATTAAAAAGGACCACCACTTCCCCTTCCCCTCTTCTGATTGCTCTTACTGCTTGCTTATTTGGAGCTCCTTCTCCACAGTTGTTCTTTGTTTTCCATTCTGGAGGCTCACCATAGAACTGGGCTATCTCATCTAAGGGCCTCACCTCTCCTTGGAAGAGAGATGGGCAAGCTCCTCCTGTGCTTTTACAACCTTAGAAGCCCAGTGTGGAGTTAGCTCCATCTGTTCTGACTTGATGGCAATGAACATGAGAGTTTGTCCCTTAAACCTGGGCTACACTACTACCTCCACACATGTTCCCCAGTCACTGGATCCTCTTTGGAATCAGTTATGCACTAGCGGTTCCAAAAATCAAAGGTATCTCCCTTTACTTCTAGATGGCTGACTCTTTTTTACTTAAAGCTCAGTTAAATGTCACCTCCTCAGAAAAGTCTTCCTTGATTGCAACCCAGTCAGGCACATTTTATCACATCACTACTATTTCCTTCACTTTTCCTTATTATTACCTGCCCATCGGTTTAGGTGCCCTCTCTCCTAAGAGCATAATCTTTTGTTTGTGTTCACCATACAATGCTTGAAACACTGGCCTGCACTCAGATAAAAATTTACTGGATAAATGAATGCTGGACTTTTTATGCAATTGTAAATTAGTCTCTAAGTCAATTAAGTTGAGATCAGTAGTCAGCTTGATGGGGTTTTTTTTTTTAATCATTTGTTGTATTTCCGTTGAATAAAAACATAAACACACTTTACTCTTGCAATCAAAACATTAAATACTGTTTTGTAAGACTCCCTTCCATGATGGCAAAACACACATTTTATTCTTCTCATGATAAGCACATCAAACTCACTCTCATGCAGTATTTACTAATAGAAATCACTCCTCAAAGGAATCCTAAATTTGAGCACTCTAAGTTCTTCAGACAATAGATTAGATAGAGAAGACATTCCAATGAAGCGTCAACTAAAATCATGACAGGCAAGCCAAGGGATACTTGATTCCAAGCCCCATTCTCCCAATCAACCCTCTTTCCAATCATCCTATGCTTTCTCAAAGGCAATTTTTTCCTTTTTACCTTTAGTTTGTAATCCTCATTAAAACATCACCAAACAGATCACAATGCCTCAATTAAGATTATCTATACACAAAGCTTTACAGCCTTTGAAAACACCCTGAAGGCTAAACTAAGAGTGGGTTGGTACATAACAACAACAACATACACAAAGAATCAGCACAAGGGACTATGTGTCACTGAAGACCTGGGTGCCAGACACACAACTGGAGAATGAAATAAGCGAGCAATTGTTCAACTGTGGAAACAAAAAAGTAATATGGGATTTTCTGTTCTCTGAAGTGCATCATAAAGTGTGGGAGGGGAGAAACACAGAAATCCAGAATTAGCCCAACATCAAATAATTTTGGGAAGACTTGACAACCTGCAAATGCCTCACACATTAAAAGTATTCCGATCAAGAGACCTCGATACCTGGGCCATTTAGGAATCCTCGCAAGGGTTTTGGAATTCCAGTATTCACTGGAGAAAATGCTCATTCTAATCGGGAGCAAGCAGGCATTCAAGTAAGACCAGGAAATTAAGTACTCCCTATGTGACACTGCCAGTAAATGAACTCTCACAAAGCTTGCAGTACAGATCGGGGTGGGGTGGGGGGGCTAAATACTACGTTCAAAGGCGGTAGCCAACGTATTACAGTGCCAGTCGGGGAAGAAAAGATTGTCACACACACAACCGGGCGAGAATTAAAGTGGAAACGAGGGGTGAGGTGGAGTAGGGGAGGAAAAAAACCCCAAAACAATACATACATCACTCCGTCCCACTTCCTATACAGGACCCCGGCAAGCCTCGAGCCCCATGGCCTCAGGCAGACAGCTACCGCTTATAGGAAAGGTGCAGAGAAAGGCCTTCAGGTCGGAGCCCCTTAATTCCAGGGCTGTTAATGATTAAAGAGCAGGATGGGGGTGGGGAGGGAGACAAGGCGGAGGGAGCTGGAGATTCACCCACCGACTGCCCGCGGGGTTCCTACCTCACAGCACTTAAAGCGGGGAACAGGACGAGCGCCTGCACCCCCTTCCAAGGCAGCTCTGGCCCTGGACCCCCAGGTCCCGGTTTGGGGTGTGCTGGCGATGGGAGGCAGAGACAGTAGGTAAGTTTTCGGAGCCGGGCGGCTGACACGCCACAGGATCCCCTCCCAGTTTCTCTTTGCAGAAGGACCAGTTCAGACTAGGCGCTGATTTCAATGCCCCCCCCCCCGAGGCCTCCCCTTTCTCGGAGGTACCAACCCCTGCCCCTACATCGCTCAATTCCCCTCTTTCCTCACTTACTCCCTCCCCCCACCAAACTCACAGCTGCTCCAGAGGTTCCTCGGGTCAAACCCTGTCTGGAAACGACGGCGGCCCGGCGGGTCCAAACCACCTACCATCCCCACTTGCGTTTCCAGGCTCCCTAACCCCGCCGCCGCCGCCTCTTCTTCCACCACTGCCGCCGCCTCCTCTTCATCTGCGGCCCACCGGCGGCAGCCGCCCCGAGGCCCCGCCCCCTCCATCGCCTCCTGCATCATCACTTCCGGTAACCCCGCAGGCCGCCGACTCCAGGGAGGGAGAAAGCGAGGGGGAGGGCTGGGAGGGAGCGGGTGGAAGGTTGCGTCACGACGTACGCAGGGACGTACGAAGCCGTCGCCAAGTAAGGGCAAAGACGCAGCGACAGGGAAGGAGGTGTGGGAGGAGTTGGGCTGGACCAGTGTGCCGGCTGGAGGAGGGGGAGAAGAGGACCCCCACCCCAAGAAGGGGCAAAAGGAAAATAGGGAGCAATTCAAGTTGTCCGTATTGTGAAGTAAACAGCAGAAGGTGGGGTCGGGTTTGAATTTCTCGGGGACTCGGAGGCTGGCACCGACTCAGAGCGAATGCCCCCACGGAGGTCCGTCCCGTGGGTCGGTCCCGTCTTTCCTTACCGGACCTGCCAGTCGGCTGCCGTTCCGCTGGGCTCCTGACACCCCCTTCTCCCAGCCCGCGGGGGGCTGCGGCGCTTCTGTGGGTGGGGGCAGGCTGGCCTGACGCAGAGTGAGTGTAGGGGATGGAGGCGTAGACTCCGGACGCGGGAGCCGGGGGGGCGGGGGAGGGTTCCTCCGGGGTAGGGATGCCGGGGGGGGGGGGGGGGTGCGGTGTTGCTAGGAGACGCGCTTGTATGACCCCAACCCCGCGAGGGCAGCTCGGTGGTGTCCTCAGGATCCTGCCTCAAAGGTAGCGAGCGACCTTTGTACTGAAAGGGAGGCGCTTGGTTTGGGAGCGCAGCGATGCCGGTTCAGGGCCCATGACAGTCTTCCGAATCCTTTGGATTCCCAAAAGTTGAATGGGTGGCAAGGGGCCTCTGGTTAAGGAAAAGTGACACAATCCAAGCTCTGGTGAGGAATGAAAACATTGAGTGACAACCAGCCTCATAAATCCCCTCGATACAGAGGCTTTCTTTCCTTTGTGACTTCCCCCCCCCCCAAAGAAGAGATTAACTAATCAAGAAATAACAGCAAATGAGAAATGTTCTAAAGGCAATAGTGGCGACACGAGATGGAGGCGAGGATTTTTCTGTGATCCAGGAGAAACTACGGGATGAGTTTTCAGATTGAAGAGTTTGCGAGAGAAAATAGGAGCTGAGTTCTCTGGATGAGAAAAGAGCAAGCTGTTTGCAAGTGGAGGAAATGGTGAATGCCATGTGGCTGGAGCAAGGCCATTAGTAAAAGTGTGGGTGTTATTTATTATGTTAAGTATGATGGGGGGGAATTGTAAAAAGTTTTTAAGAAGGGGAACAACCTGACTTACACAAAAGTTGCTCTGGCTAGAAACGGTGGGATCAGATTTGTGAGGCAGCTGTTGTTATTTTTGTTAGGTGTGACAATGGTGACCCTATGAACAGTGGATCTGAATCTTGCCCTGTCTGTGCCATCCTCGAAGTCTCTGATAATATTGAGCCTATTGTTACATTTCTTGTGTCATTTCATCCTATTGAGGGTCTTCCTCTCTTTGGCTGACCCTCCACCTTTCTAAGCATGCTGTCTTTTTCCAAGGATTGATTTCTCCTAACAGCATACCCAAAGTATGTGAAAGAGGAAGCTGGTGAAGTATCCCAAAAGAAAGATAGTGGCTGGTGGTCCAGGGAAGACAGACACCTCAAATACAAGCATGTTCTTTAGAGACTTTTTTGTTAAGGCTGACAGATCATTCCAGGATGGGGAACACCTTTAACAACGCTGCTGATGCAGAGCCACTGTTTTCATTCATAAGATTCTGGGCCCCATGATAGGCGGGCCTCTTTCAGCTGGTACAAGACCATGATTGGGATAGGCACACAATTACACCTTAAAAGCATACAGGATTCATTCTGACATTCCTGCCAGCTGGCTGCGTGGTGTGGTTGGAGCTATGGCTTATGGGAATCTTTTAAGGACATGCCTGGGCAAGTTATTATTGTTCCTGTCTATGCTGATCTGAAGGCCTTTTGTAGCGTAATGCCTTATGTCTTTAACTGCTAGCCAAAAGCAATGTTTAGAATCTACCAGCTTCTCCAGAAAAAGATGAGCAGTCAGTCATCTGCTGTAAAGATTACAGCCTCAGCAACCTGATGAAGGAATCAGAATGCACCCCACAGCAGTGGGTGTTGCAAAACCATGTGCCTAGTGTAGTGGTCAGGGGAAAAAAACCCACCTCAAATGGAGTCTGAGAATGCCAAGAATTGGAATGGAGTTAGGACTGTGCTGCCTCTAGCCTTCCACAAGCTGGATACTTACGTTTTTAAGCTCTAGTAGAGTGATCACAGTGGAAATGGAGAGATTTGATTAAAAATGTATTTTGGAATGGGACTTCCAAGACTTGCTGAATTAGATGTATGGTGTGAGAGAGGGAGGGACAGAAGGGCGGCTCTTAATGACGAAGACCAGAGGGAAAACTGTTTAGGAAGGGCTATCATATATTTTGTTTGGAACATAATACATGTGAGAAGTTGATACGTCATTGAAATGAAAATGTTGAGGCATTAGATATACAAGTCTGTGGTAAAGTCCTAGTTGAACTAGGACTTTGAACTATTGTTAAAAATACTAAATTTGGGGTTGTCAAGATATAGGTAACCCAGGGAAAGGATATACATAAAGGATTAAACCCCCTTGGAGGTTTTTAACATTTTGAGGTTACTCACAGACTCTAAGTTATTAATAGGTCACAAAAGCAGCAGCCAGCAAAGGAGAGAATTGAGGGCTCAGAAATACAGGCAAAACTCCCTCCACCAGTAAGTATCCAATGAGACCAACCTTTATAATCAGTGTAATTGATCCACCCGATTCATTGGCCAGCTTGTACCCATCAACTAAGGGCTGGCCCTGATCTCTTTCCCTGCCTTCCCCTGTGACTGCCAGTACTTTTGGGCTTGTAGAGAGGTAATGTGTGCCCAGTGGAGAGCAAGCCTAACTTTTAAATTATTAACATGTCTGTCTTCCACATGAACTATAACTCTTTGCGAGCTGGGGCTTTTTCTACTTTGTGTTCTCCTGGCTTCTAGTGCAAAGCTTTGCTCGTAAAACCCAGCATGTCACCGTAGCTGGGTTGTTGTTAAGTGCCACCGAGTTGGCTGGTGACTCAGAATGACCCTGCTTACCACAGGGAAAATAATCCTGCTCAGTCCTGTGCCATCTTCATAACCTGTGCTGGGTTTACACTTGTTATAGTCACTGTCAGTCCATCTCCTAGAGGGTCGTCTTTTCACTGACCCTCCACTTTTCTGAGCATAAGTTTTCTTTTTCCAAGGACTGACCCCCTCCTGTTAACATTCCCAAAGTGTGTGAGAAGAAGTCCGGACATCCTTGTTTCTAAGGAACACCATTTATGTATGTATGTATGTATTTAAGAAAAGTAATCTTGTTAACATGTTTCATTTAGCAAAATAAACCCAAAAGGAAATCACAGTACCAAAAAGGTCTAAGTCAAGGCCTTACCAGTTCCTACAGTGTTCGTGTTGTGTCTCAGTTTTCAAAATTAACTTTTACAAACTTAAAACTTAACCTAAGATTTTGAATGAAAGCAAACTAGAATGAACAAACGTGAGAAATATTTCTTTCGATTAGGGATCTAACACCATTGAGTATTCTGGGGAAAAAAGCATGTCTCTCAAATGTGTTGCCAGAGATCCACGTTTAAAATACATTAAACTACCTTAACTGAGACATAACTCTGAAACTACGAAACTCTCTTGCTACACGTCTACCATGACAGGTTTGTTTATGGTTTCAGCAATCCATGATGTTGTCAGCACCACAGTGCAAAGGTGCTTGTTGTTATGTACCATCGAGTCGCTTGCGACTCATAGCGACCCTATGTACAAGAGCCCTAAATGCTGTTCCATCCTGTGCCAACCTCGCCGTCTCAAACACACTCATTCCCACCACTCCACTCACAGAATCGATCCATCTCATCGAGGGTCTTCCTCTCCTGCACTGTCCCTCCACTCTCCCAAACATGATGTCCCTCTCCAAGGACCAGTCCCTCCTTGCAACATGCCCAGAGTATGTTAGATGGAGCTTCAGAATCCTCAACCCCAAGGAGCATTCTGGCTTCACCCTCTCCAGGACAAACCTGAATTCATAAACTATCTGTCATGATACTCTTCCACTTTGATAAAGGAGGTTTTTGTCTCTGTCCCTGCCACTCCCACCATAGCCACTACTACCTTAATCTAAATCTAGTCCATCTCAATGGAATGGGTAGTAGTAGGCCTGGATTCCAGTCTGATCTGATCTAACAGCTAGAGTTGCCTTGCGTAAGGTCCATCTCGTTGAACCCAAGGGGTTGGCCTCAATACAGATCACAAACTGACAGGACAAATTCTTCCCACAAGATAATGTCAATTCTTTTCAAACTTACTTACCAGCATTTTAAAATTGCGTGTCAGAACTCAGATATCCTTTTGCCTCATTTGAAACATCCAACAAAGTAGTAATACTGTGTGAGTCTCCTACATGTAATAATAGTCAACTGAATTGTCACGTGATTCATGTGTGACCCCTGTGGGCATTTAACTTGCAGTCGTCATTGGTCATGAGCGGTGCTGTCAGATATGTGGCCGTGTGACTAAATTAATGAAATAAAACTAAAACATCAGTTCTTCAGACACATTGAACACTTTTGAAATGCCAGGCAGCCACGTGTGGACAGCACAGGCGTAGAACTTTGCCATTTAGGCGTAAAATATCATTGGAAGTTCTCTTGAGCACTGGACTGGGAGCTCTTAAAGATTGTCAGGGTACTAATTGTTTCCCATATGTGGCTACAAATCTGGGAACCTGGTCTTTGTGGAACTTTGCCTCCACAGATGAGGCAGGTTGCTCAATTTATAGTTCTTTGACAGGTAACAAGTCCTTGGATATGTTAAGTGCAAAGAGTGCAGTTATAGATGAGAAGGTTGGACTAAGGTCAGATGCTAGAAAGCTCCAGCTGTATCTAGTGTTATAGCTGATGCACTTGAGCCAGTTTTCTACTCAATTTCTTTGAAAAATCATATCAAAGAAGAATTTAATGTTTTGAGCTTTTCAACTTCTCCCGTTCCTATGGAGGATTGAAGATCCCGCCTGGGTAATCGTGAATGAATGGCTGTGGTTGATGGGCCTAGTTTTCCATCTATTTTCAGCCCTTCCCGTACACCTTTAACTACCTTCTCCTTAGGGTAACTGGCTCTTAACTGCCTCTGCCTGACCCTTGAGCCTGCCTTTGTCTCTGAAAAATGCCATTAAAGGAATGGATACATTTCATTTCTTTTGACTCAGAAAACGAAAAAATTTGGTTTCCAATTAGAATTTCTATCCTTGAGGGAGAACTTGCTTTTGTATCTCATGTTTGCAGTAACCTGATTGAAGTTCCCACACACAAGAATAATCTTGTACTTGCCCCAGTGGGGGCATAATGTATTTAGGATGGATGTCCTTGCCTTGCAGGATCTTGTTTTGGATAGTTATTTTGAAAGTCTGTCAGACATCAGTATTTTTGTCATTTTCTTCATGTCTGATTTCCCATCGGAATAGAGC